GGAGGTTTATAGTATATCTTCAGTTTCCATTGCCAGAGCACTTTTGTAAAATGCAGGTAATAAGAGATGAGTGAGGCCGGGCTTGGTGGCTCAGCCTGTATCCCCGCACTTCGGGAGACTGAGGCAAGTGGATTGCCTGAGTCCAAGGGTTCGAGACCTGCCCGGGCAACTTGGCGAGAACTTGTCTCTACAATAAATCAAAAATTAGCTAGGCATAGTAGCGCATGCCTGTAGTTCTGGCTACTTGGAAGGTGAAAAAATTGCTGGAGCCCAGCAGGTCGAGACCGCGGTGGCCAGGAGTGTGCGACTGCATTCTAGTCTGGGCAACAGAGTGACACTCCAACTCAAAATAAAAAATAAAAAATAGATGTGTGAGCTGAAGGACATGGTCTATAGATAATCTTGTGGCTCTCCCCCCCCCCTTTTTTTTTAAGTCAGGGTCTCACTCTGTTGCCCAGACTGTAGTGCAGTGGTAGGATCATGGCTTATCACAGCCTCAGCAATCACCTGGACTCAAGCAATCTTCCAACCTCAGTTTTCCAAGTAGCTGGGACTACAGGTATGTACCACAGTGCTCAGCTAATTTTTTGAATTTTTATAGAGACAAGGTCTCTATGTTGCCTAGGGTGGAAAAACACATCGTGACAATTTTACAAAGCAGTATCTTCTCCACCCCACTTCCACTGAAATATCCTTTTGGGCGGGGGGCAAAAGTAATGGAGTGTTAGCAATGTGAAAGTAGGGTATTGGAATTTTATTATATTTTTTATTATTATTATTTTTATTAATCAGTATTTTTTATTATGGTTTTGTGGGGTACAGTTAAGGGTTAGGTGTACAATTACGTTTCATTCAGGCACCCTGTTGATAATAGGTGTTTTCCCATCCCCCAACAGATATTTGCTACTGTTAATCCCATCCCCCTCCCCCCCATAGTTTCCCAGTACCGTCAGTCATTTTCTTATAGTATTGGGTATTGGAATTTTAATTGAGATCTGTGATTTTAGCTTAACAAATCCAGTAGACAAGGAATTTTCTAATCAAGAGCTACTTAAAGGGGAAACTTACTTTTTTGAGTTGGAGTCTCACTGTGTTGCCCAGGCTGGAGTGCAATGGCATGCTCATGGCCACCCGCAGCCTTGACCTGCTGGGTTCAGGGGATCCTTCCACCTCAGCCGTCCAAGTAGCTGGAACTACAGGTGTGTGCCACCATACCCGTCTGATTTTTTTTTTTTTTTTGCGTTGGAGTCTCACTCTGTTGCCCAGACTGGAGTGCAGTGGCACCCTCCCTTGACCTGCTGGGATCCAGTGGTCCTTCTGCCTCAGCCTTTCAAGTAGCTGGAACTACAGGTGTGTGCTACCACGCCTGGCTAATTTTTTATTTATTGTAGAGATGAGGTCTTGCCAAGTTCCCCGGGTGGGTCTCGAACCTGCGGGCTGAGACGATCCACTTGCCTCGGCCTCTCAAAGTGCTGGGATTACAGGCTGAGCCACTTAGTCCGGCTTACTTTTTGATTTATTGTAGAGATGAGGTCTTGCTGAGTTGTTCAAGCTAGTCTCGAACCCATGGACTTAGGTAATTCTCTCACCTCGTCTCCCAAAGTGCTGGGATTACAGGTGTGAGTGACCACACCCAGCTGGAATCTTATTTCTGATTTGTATTTCTTTCTCAAGGAATGAGAGTACTGTGTTTTCTTTCCATACTAATGAGATTGAACATTTTCATTGTGTTTATTAATCATTTATATTATTTCTGTGAGTTGTCTATTTATATCCTTGACCTTTGTTTTTTTGTGAAGAGACTTATCTTTGTAGAAAAAAAGATATTAACTTGGCTGGGCATGGTGGCTCACACCTGTAATCCCAGCTCTTTGGAAGACAGAGATGAGAGGATTGCCTGAGCCCAAGGGTTTGAGACCAGCCTGGGTAACCTTATGAGACTTCATCTCTACAGTAAATCAAAAAACTAGCCTGGTGTGGTGGTGTGCGCCTGTAGTTCTAGTCACATGGAAGGCTGAAGTGGAAGGATTGCTTGAGCCCAGCAGGTTGAGGCTGCGGTGGCCGTGAACATGCCACTGCACTCCAGCCTGGGCAATACAGTGAGACTCCTACTCAAAAAAATGAAAAGAAAAGAAAAAGGATATTAATTTTTGCTTAGTATGTTTCAAATATATTTTTCATTTTGTCAATTATGTTTTGCCCATGGTTGTACTTTTTAATTTTTACCATAATAGAACTGTTAAATTTAATCTAATAAGTCTTTACATTTTTCTTTTTTCTTTTTTTTTTTTTTTTGAGTTGAAGTCCCACTCTGTCGCCTAGACTGGAGTGCAGTGGCTGCTCCCGGCCACTGCAGCCTCGACCTGCTGGGCTCTGGTGATCCTTCCGCCTCAGCCTTCCGAGTAGCCAGAATTACAGGCGCGCACTCCCATGCCCGGCTGATTTTTTGATTTATTGTAGAGATGAGGTTTTGCCAAGTTGCCCAGGCGGGTCTTGAACCCGCAGGCCCAGGCAATTCACTCACCTCGGCCTCCCAAAGCGTGGGATTACAGGCTGAGCCACTGAGCCCGGTCTACATTTTTTATGAAATGTATTATGGTGAGAAAAAAATTTCTAGGTGCTATAAAACATGTCATAGTTTATGTGTAGATTTACCTAATGAACGTTTTTCCTTACAAATAGAAGGTGATTGTCACAGGATTTGCTGCATCTTTGCAAGCTAACATAGGCCTGAGGCTATAACACCATAAGAATAGTTACTGCTCACTCTGTACACCTGCTGTGTGCCAGGCAATGTGCTACTTTTATGTACAATATTCATAATGCTCAACTTCAGGCTAAATAGTAGTATTGTTTACTTTTCATAGACAAATAGTGAGGCTCAAAGAAGTGAAATTATTTGCTCAGGATCACTAGTCACTGGATTAGAATTTTAACTCAAATCTGACTAACTCCAAAGTATATAGTATACTCTTTCTACAAAGCTTTGCTTCTTGAGACTTCAAATAAATTAAATTGGTCCTAAAAAGTTATGTTATCTTTTTGTTTTTTTTGAGTCTGAGTCTCACTTTGTTCCCAAGCTGGAGTGCAGTGGCACACTTACGGCCACGGCAGCTTCAACCTACTGTGCTCAGGCGATCTTCCCACCTTACCCTTCCAAGTAACTGGAACCACAGGCGTATGCCTCCATGCCCATCTGGAACTACAGGCATGAGCCACTGTGCCCAGCAAGTTATTTTGCATTTACTAGAACTTGAACACATGGTTTATAGCCTAGTTAGACTACTCTTGGTTCCTGAAAGCCTAGTAGATAAGGTAATTAGAAACATGTAAATGAGCTGAAAGAAAGGTCTCCACTGTCTAGGTTAGTGGTTTTCAGAGTGGTTCTCAGACCAACAGCATCAGCATAACTTGGGAATTTGTTAGAAATGCACAGTCTCAGGCCCAACCAGACCTACATAATCAGAAATTCTTGGGTCCAGGGCTGGCAATCTATTTTATAATACCTCCAGCTACCAGGTGCGGTGACTCAAGCCTGTAATCCCAGTACTTTGGGAGGCCGAGGTGAGAGGATTGCCTGAGACTAGGGGTTTGAGACTAGCCTGGGCAACTTGGTGAGACCTCATCTCTACAATGAATAAACAAATTAGCTGGGCATGGTGGTATGCGCCTATAGTTCCAGCTTCTTGGAAGGCTGAAGCGGAAGGATCTGAGCCCAGCAAGTCGAGGCTGCGGTGGCCGCAAGTGTGCCACTACACTCCGGCTTGGGTGACAGAGTAAGACTCCGACTCAAAACAAAAAAACAGAAACCTCCAGCTGATTATGATGCATGTTAAAATCTGAGAACCAAGCCGGGCTCGGTGGCTCAGCCTGTAATCCCGTGCCTTTGGGAGGCTGAG